ATAATAATAAAATATAAGAATAAAATAAATAAAATAAAAATATTAACTAAGTTAAAAATGCTAATGATATTAATAACATTGATTATTCGTCAATCTTTGTAACGCAATAAGATTAACTTCACATGGTATCAACAAGTATTTTAAAGGATTTTAATTTTCAAAAAAAAAGCTAAATAGAAATTAAAATATTTTATTAATTTTAATATTAATTCTGATTAAAATAAAATTAATAAAATTAAATTTATTTAAATTACTAGTTTTATTATAGTTATAAATATCTTGTAAATCATATTCAATTAGTTTTTTAGCAATAATTATTTAATACTCATTAATTTATTTTATATCAAATATATTAATAATTTCATTAGATTTAATATATCTTTGAAGATTTTTTTTTAAAATTAATTAGCTAATTTGCAGAAATATTGAAATCTGTAATATCAAATTTAATTGCAAATTATTTAGCCTTTTATTATAATACACCTTCACATAATATTTGATTTATAGATAAAACTAAGATATTTAAATACTAATAGTTTTATTTATTTTTTTATATATTAGTCCTTAAATCCTTTTTAATTCATATTCTAAACTAAAAATAAATAAATATTTAGATTTTTTCAAAATATCACTAATTATATTAAGTTTAATATTATAATATTTTAAAATTAAAAAATCACAGAATATTATATTACGTGACCTATTTCAACAAAATAAGTAAATTAAAAGCATTATAATAATAAGAAATTAAGAAATAACTAATCAAACAGAAGGTCATAAAGGAAAAATAATTAGCCAAAAATTACATAATATTGAAGAAATAAAATAACTAGAATGATATAATAATATAATGAAACACAAATCATCTGATATAACAATTAAGTATATATATAACTAGAGTGTAATACAAATTATATAATATAACTGAAAAGTAATATGATAACCAGAATATTATATAATAACTAGATAGAAGTATAATAACCAAAATATAATACAAAATAAATCACAAGATCTAAAAATATATTAACTAAAATCATAGAGAAAGAAAATAGTTAAAAGAACTCTTAGAATAAAAGGAAGGAAAATTATAAATATATATGAATATTATATAAAGATTTAGATGAAAGAAATTAATGAATTGAAACTATGAAATATTTGTATAATTTATATTACTAAAAAAGAAAATTATTAGAAATAATAAAAAAAGAAATATAAATACATTTATAAATACAAAAAAAGAAAAGATTTATTATACAGAATTAAAAAATATGAAAAAAAGAAAGATCAATTAATAAAAGTATTAAAGAAAATCTAAAAATAAAAATAATGTAATAATGACATCATAAACATGTAATAATAATATATAATGAGAATATATAATGACCTTGAAATTGTAAAGAAAAAAGAAAACATAAAGGAAGGATTGGAAGAAAGAATAGGAAACAAAATAAAAATAAAATTAGAAATAAAAATTAATAATGAAATTAGAATTTGTAATTAGAAAAAATATTAATAAAAGAATAATGAAATATTAGAAAATAATAATGAAACTATAATGTAATAATAGAAAATTAATAGTGAAAAAATTAGAAATAATAAACTCTAAAAAGTGAATAGAAATTAGGAATTAATAGAGAATTAGATTCAAAATGGAAAATAGAATTAGAATTAATAAGAAAAGAATGGAAAACAAAGATAAGATTTACAAATTTGATCAATTTATTGATGAGAATAATGAAAGTACAGTTGATGATAATTCAGATAATATTGAACCAGCAGTGGATAATATAGTAGCAGTGAAAAATTTATTAGAATATATAAAAAATTATTTTTGGATTTATAAATTTTGATTTTTTTAAATTTTGTTTTTATTAAAATAGTTAAAGATAAAAATTTAATTTATTCACATATTTGTATTTATATTTTACCTTAGCCATATCTTTAAAATTTTTAAATATTTTTAAATAATAATGAATGATAAAAAAAACAACTCTTATATATATACTTTTTGTATATTTACATTTAAATCACAATAAGTAATATTAAAAGTTTTTTATATTTATATTTTTAATACATAATAAATGCATTGAATGTAACCGTATAGGCCAATTTGTCTTATATTACTAATTAATTTTTATGTAATAAATTATAAGTTTTGATTGACATGCAGTTACATACTAATAAAAATAGTGATAAAATCAGATAGTAGCTAATAATCAAAACTTTTGAAACTGGTTTCTCACAAATTTTCGCAATTATGAAACTAGTCAAAATTGGTTTAAAATTATTTTTTATGGAATTAATATGTTTTGGGTAGTTAGTGTGATAAAAGTGACAAAAGATTATAAATACATAATAAACGAAACTATTTGGTATTAAATTTAAAAATAACAGAAACAGTTCATATTATAGCAGAACAAAGTAAAAGTAATATTCTTTCTTTTTAATATAATTTTTGTTCTATAATAGAAAACTAAAAAATTTTATTTATTAATAGATACCTTTTCTAATCGTACTTTTATACATAATTATCCAAATAGTTTGAAAATTGAAGCTTATTATCAAGAAAATAGAAGATTGTTTAATTTATTTTATAACATTATTTCTTTAGAAACCTATCCTACTTCATTGAAATTAACTCAAAAATTGAAGTCTAATTCACCACAATATATAATACCCAATAATTATGTAATAGAAACAGAAGTTTTTAGACAAATCTTAGGTGTAAAATAAAATATATTTTACATTCAAAGGTAAACTATATAATTTATTAGAAGGAAGAACGTACAACATAAAGTGTTAATAGCACAAAATCTTCCATAGCAGTTGTTAACACATTTTTATAGGTATTCACAAAGTGTTTAATTATTTATATCAAATATTTAATTGATTTAATTGATTTAATATAACTACAGGGGATAGCTAATACTTAGTTTAGTTTATTTTTCTTAAATTTGTATTTTTGGTTTTATAAATTAATAAAGTGACTGATAGTACTACATCATTAAAAAAAAATTTAATTGATTTAATATTATTTTAATTAAAAAATTAATTACAAACCTTTAACTAAACTTTCTAAGCCTCAGTTATTCAGTTTTAATATTGAACTATTATATAATATTCGTTTACAAAGTAATTCTTGTTCTACTTTTACTATAACAAAAGTTGATAAGTAAAAAAGACCACTAAAAGATATTACTTTACGATCACAACAAAATAAGAGATTAAGTAGTTTTAGAAATGATATTCAGAATGCAGTTAATTAATTAATTATTAAATATAAATTGACTAATTCATTTGGACAGCAAATTGTATATGTTCATAATATTGAATTTGATTATAAAGAAAATTAAGTTTATATTAGATTTAAGGATTTAGATTTACAACTAATCAAATAAGACTTGATGCTATTATACATGCATGTAATGAAGCACTCTTGAAACATGATGAATATTATCATTTAGCAGCAGTAGTATCAATACTTTATCGTGGGTACTTAGTTTTTAATTAAAGGAATGAGATAAATAAAATTATGAATGCCCAAATACATATAGAAACCTTTAATATGAATCATGAAATTTATTATGATCAATCTAATAATGTTTATAAGCATACTAATGATATTTAATAAATGATTATAAAATAGGAAATAGTGCTTTTCATTCTCTTTTGGCATTACTTAAAACATTAATTCCTATTTAAAAAGCAGAAGAAAATCTTATAATAATTTCTGGAGATACTCTTTACATAAAACTTGGTAGTGATGATAGGAATGTTGAAAGAAAACAAAATCACGTAATTATTATATTTTATTTATTAAATGAAGAAGATGATGTTCTTAAATCCAGCCATCAATATAGGTATATTTTTATGTAAATTATATGTTTTATATTTTAATAAAACTAATATATTTTTAGTATATGTCTTTATATTGGCAAAGAAAAATATGAAACATTAGTTAAAGTTGACAAAATATTTGCTTTACAATTAGATAACTTAAAAAATAATGGAATAGTTAATGATGATGATACTTATTGACCAGTTGAATTTTTTTTTTCTAAAAATTAGAAATTTACATATATCATTATAAGTTTAAATGCATCTAATTCAAAATATTTCTGTTTATTTTGTGAATGTGATTCTAAATCTCATCATAATATAAATCTTTCTTGATTGCTTACTGAAAACATTAAAGATTTTATATAATTTAAAATATTTATTTATTTATTTTTAAATGTTTATATTAAATTTATTACTATATTTTAATTAGAAAAAAAAACTCATCTTTATTTCCTATGATTAACTTACTTAATTATGTTTCTGATGAATTCTATATATTACTACAAATATCTGATGTATTAATGAAATACTTCTTTAAAGATTTATTTAAAAAAAATGATTTTGAACGAAATTTTAAGAAGAAAATTGAGAAAAAATGAATGAACTTTATATTCATTTTGAATTTTATCATGTTAATTCTGATAAAAGCAATTGGAGTTAAATTTCACTAATAGGACCTGACAAAAAAAAAATGTTACAACATTTTTCTGTCAGTGAATTCATACCTAAAGCACATAGAATAGCTATTAAAAATTTATGGTGTGAATTTTATCGATTATATGAAGTTTTAAGAAAACTATCTTATACTAAAGATGAAATTTTAAAGTTTGAAAAAGATGTAAAAGATTGGATTAGAACTTTTTGCCAATCCACTATAGATCAAATGAATTCTGCAGCAGCAATCTCAAGACTTTATAGAAAAGAAGATGTTACTCTATATATGCATATGTTTACAATATATGTATCTTATTTTATGCATTGATTAAAAGAAATTGAACTTTCATTCAGACTATTTTCAACTAGTAGCATTGAAAAGAAAAACTATGATCAATATTCTAAATGAAATAATATGTAAAAACATTAATATATAATAAAAAACACTATTTTATTTTATTTATTTTATTTAAAAATTTATATAAATTAGGGGTGAGGCAAAATATATCTATAGTGTAATCTAGTAAAATTTAGTATACTATCTGCTAATAAAGATTTGTTACTTAATTGAGAATAAATAGGATAAAAAGAGGATTCATTACAAAAACTATTATATATTTTATGTAAATCATGATTACTACTAGATGATGATTCATATAAAGATGATGAAAGATTTTCTTGGCTGCAAATAAAATATAAAATTTAATTTAATATTTGAATAAAACTTGTAAAGTGAATTTAATTATACACTTAATTAATAAATACTCATCTATAAACTCATTAGAATTAGCAATAAAGTTAATTAACAATGTTCTAGTTAAAAAAAAATCTACTGTTTTCCTTCCACTCTTTTTGTTTCTAACCAAATATTGCCTTATATTAGCCATCAATATCTTCAAATAAAATATATCTTCGAGTTGAGGTATTTGTATTTTCACGAAAAATAATTTTATTATACAGTATCTAAATATGCTTTTTAATCTTTTCCTATTTATAGCATTCTCAAAAGTACATTAGTATTTTCATTGACTAGGTATATACCTAAAATTGTCTTTATTTTCAAATAAAAATAGATAAACACTTTCTGAAAATGCATCAATTATTATGTGTTTCTTTTCAATTGCATGTTTATTAAACTCAAGACTGTTTTTTAGACAAATTATTACTGTATCTTGATAAAATGATAATGTTTCATCTAAAGGTTGACAAAGTATATAACGATATAGTACAATTTTATTATTTTTATATTTGTTTTGTTCATGACTTTGAAGTTTTTCTTAGTGTTATATATTTTAAAGCATAGAAGATATGAAAAAATATATGTAACAGATGTCATTTTAATGAAATTTTGAGTGTATTAAAAGTTCTTAACAATTGTTTATCGATTGGTAGTATAATGTGATATGTTGTATATTGTTAGTAATGATCGATAGTTGATCTTTTTATATGTGACATAAATGTAATATAACTGAAGTAAGCCAAATTAGCCTATATGCACTTTTCATTGATTGTAATAATGTGACGTGACATATTTACATTTTCTTTAATTTTTTTATATTAACAAAATTCGTGATTTTGATTGGTCAATTAACAATTACAGGGTAAAATTCGTATAACCTGAATGATTTCTCCTGATACGTAAATATAATATGTAAAAATACATTTATAAAAGGTTAAAGCTGATTGATCAATTAATTTATTTATTATTTAAAAAAAATTACTCAATTTAAAAATATAAGTAATTAGTAAACAAACATAAAAAAAGATAACTTTATATAAAAAAAGGATAACTCTTAAACTTTACTATGCCTAATGATATAAGATTTCTATTTCGATGAAATTCTATCTAAAGATTACTGGTTTTTAGATTTTTATAAGTATTGCAAAGATTTCACATTGTCTTTTCAGAAAGAGGCAAACAGATTATAAAAGAGTCTTGACCTTCTGATAATTATGAAAAATATGTGTTTTACAATAATAGGGCTAAAAGAAAAGCTGACACTAAATTTAATTGATTAGATGTTTTGGTTTTTTGCTAAAAAAATGTAGTATAATCAGAAAAATTTCATTGAAAATGAAAGTGTTTTCTTTAAAATTATTTTTTTACAAACCTATAATATTAAATTGATTAGCAGAATATAAGGAGAAAAGGTAATTTTGTTTTGAAGGTTCATTAAAAGAATGAACATTATGTGTGATAATTCTAAGATTAAGAAAAGGTGGAGTTTAAGAACTAGGTGTATTTGTATTATTAATTGTAAGGACAGTATTCATGATAATTGAATAAAATTATTATAAAAAGCTACTAATGTAATATTCTGTCAATTTGTTAAATTCTTTGTTTAGAGGTTCAAAAACATGTGTATCATATTGACTAAGAAGGTTTTTATTGATAAGCACAGTTTAAAAGTCATGATAAGTTTTAGAGATACTTTTGACAATTGAGAAAAAATTGTTCATTTGTTTGTTTTTGCAAATAGGCAGTGCAAAGAAAAGTATCAATATGTGGTGATTTGTGATCTACTTCAGTAGCAAAGTCTGATAAATTGTTATTAAAATCATCTGCTTCAGCAGAAGCAACAACCTTAATGTGAAGAGCTTTTTTAACAACAGCTAATATATTTTATGAAAATTTGAATTCAACACAAAGATCACTAAGTGTATTAGTAATAAATATAAGTTGAGAGATTATGAACTATTTAAAATTTAGGTCATAAATTGATCCACCTTTGCTGTACTGTTATTTAAGTTATAAGTAAAATAGACTTTAGATTCAAAGAAATCATCTATGGGTTCATCAGTCTAATGCAATTTTAGTTTTACATTTGAAATATTAGGAGAAGAAGAAATAGAGTTTGATTTAAGTAGAAGAGGTGGTAAAGATTTTCTCTTAGGTGTATCTTGAGAATTATTAGTTTGCGATAAGGGTTTAGTTACGTGAGTAAAGGTGATATTACTATGAATGAAACCTCTTATAGAACTACATTTAAGCACAGTATAATTAGTAAATTGAGCAGGTTAAAATTTTTGGTAAAAATTTTATATGTTATGATCTTTCAGTATCTGATGATATTTGAGACAAAAAGAGGCATTATGATACATTGATAAATAAATGATGCAAAGTTTACTTTCAGATCAGTTTATTCAAGCTTTTTATTATTAAAGGTTAAATTCTTTATATTCATAGTGACCTTAATGTCTTCCTTATTAAGAAAATAAAAGAAAGTATACTGTAGGTAATTATAATTAGAATGTACTCTAGAAATAATTCAGGCAGTAGCAAAAACTATATTTCTAATATTCTAGAGGTCACGTAATGTAATATTTTTAGAAAGGTTAGTTAATTTATTTGAATGATCTAAGCGAGCTTGAATATCTGTTCTGAAAAGACTATAGGGATAATATTAGATCATGTCATTTAAAAGGTAGATTCTGTCACCTTTTTTAATTCTGCAAAGTTTGTTTAATCGTCAAAGGTGATTGTAGCTCTTTGCTATAGGTTTCTTACCTTTATTGAGAAATAGATAATATTATCAAATTTGAAGAAAAGTTTACGTAGTCTAGTTTTAGTAGCATCTAAAGGAATTTCTATGACTGTGATTGACAGATCAAATACATAAGATACAGATTTTTTAATATTCATTGATTGAAACATAATATTATCTATATCAGAAAACTTGAGAATGTAGAATGTATCACATTTAGTTTTGTTAATAAAGGTAACTTTGATAATTAATTAGTGTGTCAAAAGACTTATTAATGCTTATAATAGTTTTCTGTATAGTATTTTCTAGTGTGAGAGTTTCAGAACCTTTTTCTTTATCAAGATTATTGGTTAAACTTTCTGCGATAGGATCAACTTCCATGGTGTTGGTGTCTTTTGTAAGAATAGGTTCAATAAAACTAGCAAGTAACTCTGAAATGAGTTTATTATCTAATGTTTGAGTGGTGTTTTGTTTTTTAGTTAATATTTTATTGTTAACAAGTAATGCAAAGTGATCACGATTAGTATTCTTTTTTTTAGTATTTCTTAGCATTTTGTAGATTAGCAAAAAGAACTTTTTTCTATTATTATTATTATTATTAATTATAATATTTACCTTAAAGATCTGCTTCTAAATTAATAAAAAAAAATAAAAAAAAATTTAAATTACAGTACTATAATCAAAATAAAAAAATAAATCCAATAAAATAAATAAAAATAAAAAATGATGTTTAATCATTCATTTTAAATGATGTTTTATCATTCATTTTAAACAATATCAAATTGTTTCATTTTTGATTTCTTATTATTTTAATTAAATAATTCATTTTATTTAATTAGAATGATTTTATTGATCTGACCTAAATTTTCAATTTAAACAAATCAGATCAGAATAGTTTATCTAATCTAACTGACTTAAAAAGTATCAGGTTAAATTTACCAGATCATCTAAATTAATCTAATTTATTTAGAGCTTTACATTTTAATCATCATATGTATTTTAAATATCAATAATTGGTTTTAATTATCATAATTAAAGATAGTCACCGTAATTAAAAAATAGCACAATTGAATTGCAACTTGTGAGGTAATTAAATTTCCTTATAGTGCAATTAAGTTGCAATTTAATTAAAATTTGAAAATAATTATGAGGACCATCTAAAATCATAATATATTTTAACTATTATAATTGATTTTAACTTTTCAAATTTTTAACAAATAATCAAAATTGATTTTAACTATTTTGATTATTTTAAATGGTCAAAAATAAATAATTTTAATTTATATATAATTAGAACTATATAAGTTGTAGTATTATTAAAGAAGATTATTAATATTTGTGAATCTACTTTATTAGATAAATTTAGTACTATTATTATATAAATTTGTGATTAATTTTCTTAATAAAACTATTACAGTCAACTCTTGTTATAACGAACTCTATGTCTTAGACCTCAACTTCGCTATAAGGCTATAGTGAAGAGTTTAAGAGATTTGATTGGCTAATTCGCTATAACAAGAGTATTTTTATTATATTTGTTCAAAAAATTCGTTATATCAAGAGTTCGCTATATCAAGAGTTGACTGTATAGATAAACTTGAAAAAAATTATTTATAAATTAACACTTATTATTCTTTTAATTAATTATTATTTAATTTCCTAAACAATTCTATTAATATAGAAAAAATATTGTTATTTTTAAAGAAATAATATTTTTCTCTTTTAAAACATTCTTTTTCTTGATAATTTATATAAATATTGATTTTAATATCAGATTTTATTATCATAATCTTTTGTAATAATATTTAAATTATGATTATGAAGATATTATTAAATTTGAAAAATCTTAAGTTATTTCTAAAAGAAAGAAAAAGAAAATATAGAGATTTATAAATATGTACTATTTGTTTAATTATATTACTAATTAATAATTTAAAATGTTAAATTTTTTGGTTTTTAAATTTGATTTCTTCTAGATTAACTTCTTAAATAGATATTAACAGTTTATTTAAATTTTTTAATAATACTTAATCATTAGATATATAGATTTTTTAGTTCTATTAAAAGAAAATTTTAATTTTTTTTTGATATTAAAAGTTTTTCTTATTACTCCAAATATAATTTACTTTATCATAAGCTTCAATAACTTTTTTTATGAATAATTATTGGTGATAAAAAATCTTCCTTTCTTTTATTTTCTTAATTTAGTAATACTACTTTTAAAATTTTTCATCAGATATCACTTCATTTGTAATTTCAGATTTTATCATATTTAACAAATTCTTTGATAGAAAAAGGATTGTCAAAATCTAGTTTATCAATTAATACTTGAACTTCTTCCATTTCCTTTAACTGTTTAAGTTCAAGTAATATATTAATACTGGTTTTATCCTTATTTTCATAATTATCATTAGATAAAATATCTGCTTTCACCTAACAATTTTTAATTATTTTATTTGTAACGTTATCCTATACTTGTAAAACATATTTTATGCATTTTTAATATTAATTTCAGAAAATTTGAGACTATATTCATTAAATTTATCAAAAGTTTTAATCCAATTTTGTAAATATAGTTTTTGATATTATATTTAAAATAAGTTAAGTTAGAATTAAGTATAAATAAAATATAAATATAATAATGTTAATTATATTTTAATTAAAGAATTATTAAATCAATTACATTTCTCACTTTAAAACTATTTATAATACCTTAATCACAAGGTTGAAAGTATGCAGTGGTATTTAAGAAAAAGGATTAAATAGTGATATTAGTTAGATAGATAGTTTATAAAGAACATATATTAGAGCATTATCATAAGAAGAATTTTATTTTCTAAAATAGTCCTATTTCATTATAATTAAATATGTTTTTAGAATTATAATCTTTTAATATTTGTTAGAGATTCTCTCTCATTATTTCAAGATTTTTGAATAGTATACTTACAGCTTCTCTATATATATAGTACTATTTAAGGTTGTATCATTTTTTAAAGTTTTTCACCTAATTATTAGACCTTTTAAATTTATTTTCCTTTAATAAAAAAGCAAAAATCAAGACTTTAGTTAAAGAATATTATCAGTAATATGAGGTCAACTTTGAATATATTATTTACTCAAATTGTTAACGCTTCTTCAATAAAAAAGAATAAAATTTTTATCACATTTTAAATTGGTTTAATATGAATTAGTAATTACAGAAAGCTAACGGTCTTTCTCCTTTAAAATGTTACTTATCATATCTTTATTAATGTTATATTCATTAGCTAAGTCTTTTGTTTTAAAAAAGTGATGATATATTTTTCAAATAATGTTTTTTTTTTGCAGCTGTAAGAAATTTTCATTTTTTAAAGGTTTATTTTGTTTATTAATAGGTTCATTAAGTTATTTTTTGAGTTTATTTTGATATTATGCAAAGAAAAACGTAAAAATAAAACATAAAAAAAATCATAAAACAAAAGACATAATATGTAATACGAATATTTATTCATTATTAGTTTTATTTAAAACTAAGTACAGAGAACTACAAAATTTTATATAAATAAATCTAGTAAAATTCATTTTAAGCAAAACTTTGTTGTATCAAAAAAAAATCATTATAAAACAATTCATTATAAAAAGAGTCATTTTATATATAAATTTTTCTAACTTTAAATTGTTAAATAAAGTACTAATTTTTAATTAACAAATTCAGTATAGTAAGATTTTTTTATATTTAAAAATCTGTCTGACACTGAAAATCTATTATATTGTAAAATTTGTAATATCAAAATTTGTTATAAATGAGTTTATTATACCATCAAACATATTTTATCATATTTCTGAAGATGAAGTTTCAGTTAAAGGTGATATATTAACATTATTAGAAAATGGAAAAAAATATTATATTGAATATTTTGAATGTAATGATATTATTAAAAAAATGATATAAATAAAAATTTTATATTAATAGTTATAGGTATTAATTGCATATTTTAGAATGATTTTTAATATAATATATAAGTTTACTTATTGATAAAATAAAAAAGCTTGCATAGAACTATTATAAAAATTTTGAAGCTGAATGTTACCTATATATATAATGTTTAGGATTTTACTTCTATTTCAGATAATGGATTACACTTTTGTGATATGAGATATATCTATATCTCATTTATTAGAGAAGCTAGTAATTTTATTTGTAAGTTAGAATACATCTGATTAAATACTATTATATATTTATACATTATGCAAAAGATTAAAATTTCATGGAATTCAAAAAATCACATGATTTCAGCAACCTATCATTCAAAATAGTTGTAACTCTAGAGTGAATACAATTATAAAAAAATGCTATTTCATCTAAAATGTTATGAAAGAAAAAAAATAAAATTTTTTGGAAATAAGATACTTTGTATGTATAGAATTATTTTATCACACAAACAATAGTCATATAGATGATTATGTTATATTATTATTACATCATACATACTTTAACGAAAAGTTTATTTTTTGTCTCACATACCTGCATACATTAACCTTATTTTTTCCTGCATCCCAGAATTTCACTTTTACATAATCATAATAAAAATATTTATCACACTGCGTTATACTTCTTAACAGGACCCTGAACAATATATGTATATATTAGATTTGAGATTGCTTATTGAACATAGAAAATTTTTAATTAAGTCACCTAAAATTTTACGTAGCAGATAACAAAATTTTAATATAGTCAAATATGTATTTGCGTAGCAAAGATAAAAATTATCAAACTCAGTAATTAGTTTACATAGTAGAAACATATTTTTGGAAATATGTGTGATGTCAAATATAATCCAAAAAAGATAATTATACCTCTTAAATTAAGACATGTAAATAAAATCAACACATAATTTTTAAATTAATTTAATATGTGATAGTATAACAAAACTTTGATCTATTTTTATACATGATTGTTATTTTGTTATTTTTCTTTTGCTTTTTCTGTAAAAAAAAATTGTATGTGAAATGATATGGAAATTTTTAATTTGAT